TCGACAAACTCTTTATCTGCACTCTATCAAACCTCTATCTCCCATCCTCCTCCTCTAATGAAACCCCACCCCCACCCTCGCCTCATCCTATAACACACACACACACACACACACACACACACACACACCTCCCCACCAGCTCCTTTTCTTCCAGTGCTTTTACCATATATATTCTCACCCCCCTCTTCATGGCAGGATTAAACTCTCTGGTTCTTAAAGGAGTCTTAAAACCAGGACATTAGTTTTAGCGTTAGCATTTTAGCACTTCCTGTCCCCTCGTCCTGAAAGTGTCCAGGTGTTACCAATGTGTTTGTGGTTAGATGGCTGAAATAAAGTCTGTGTTTAACACAAGCTCAAGACGTTTCCACGTTTTATTCCCGGTAGCGTCTTCCACATCTCCACAGTTTTGGCATCGACTTGGTTCCTGAAGTTATTGGTTCTCGCGACGTCTCTGTGGTCCTCGCCCCTGATTGGTCCAAACCGGTTTGAGGACCGTGTCTGTCGGTGGGAGGGATGGGGAGGACAGGTAGGATGAAGACAGAGCGATGAAGATGATTTCCTCTCCTCTGCTGCAGGATAGCAGCTGCTCCCATCATGTCCAGCACATGCTTCATTCATACAGAGAGCATTCCAGTCTACGCCCCCCCCCCCCCCGGTGACACTGTCTCAGGCGTATGTCAGAGGGACAGCTGGATTCTGGGGGATGGCATGTGAGCAGAGATATGTGGAGCATGTAGAATATGTGACTGTTCCTATCAGCGGTTCGGAGATCTGCGTCGCACCGATTCATCAGTTATCGGAGCCGACAGCGATGACGACGTCGTTAGAAACGTCCCAGACTCATCGTATATAATAATTGTTTGTAATTCACTCGCTGGACGTCGTTTTTACGTGACGTTTTAACTGGTCACATCTGTTTTATCTAAAACATAAGAAATCACACTAAACACTAACAGTCCGTTCTTGATCTAAACGTCTGCGCCGGCGGCCAATAAACATGTTCTGCTGCATTGTGGGATGTGTTTTTAACGTGCTCCATGTGAAAGGCGTTTGAGCTACTGCACATCACATGAGCGTCGTTTTGAAACATGCATCATACATGACACGCTGCTGCACGCTTATTATAAATAATACACACTCAGATCTGTCTCACTGGAACACGAGCTTTTTCTCTTTGTCTTTTTTAACACACACACACACACACACACACACACACACGTTCAGCTCCAGACAGTTCAGATGAGACTTGTCACGTCCATTGACATAGGGCCCAATTAAAGGGGAGGATTAAGCCAGGGCTGGGTGACCTCTTCAGGAATCTCTCCAAGACGCTGTGTGTACACTGTCAACCCTCTGACAGACCTTCTCTTAAAGCACTTTCACCTGCTAATTAAGACGCTATGCACAAATGTAATGTAATTTGTGTGTGTGTGTGTGTGTGTGTGTGTGTGTGTGTGTGCGTTCGCTGCACACACCAGACAAAAGCCCCGGTGAATGTCAGTGATAGATCTGCAGCCCGAGGAGCTTCTGTGTAAATATTTGACTTGAGCATTGTTCGGGGGTTTTGGAGCGAGCTCCAGCACACGTCACAGCTCAGAGGAGGGCGTGTCGTTTATAACATTAAAATATTACATATTTTAATATTTGGTGTGTGCATCTCGGCCGTGTGTGCAGTTGCTCCGGGCAACAAAAGCCAAGCAGTGTTTATGGTGTGAGGAGATTAGAATGGATAGCGGCGAGGCAGGAGCAGTGAGCTGTTGCTGGACAAAGCTCTCGATGACTGATTAGCGCTCAGTCGCTGCAGTTTTTACACAATGTGGAGAAAAGGCCTGGAGTGATCACACACTTCTCTGTGGTATTCTTTTTTATTTAGCAAACTAAAAAAAAGGGGCAGGGAAGGAAACTGGTGGACATTTTAAGTGGAATAATAAGTTAGGGACAAAAGCCCGGCCGGAGATGGGGCTCATGGGATAAACAGAGTGGACAGGAAAGGTTAAAAAAGGGAAAGGAGTCGACCGGCACTGAGATTAAACACAGGGAGGGATCACATGAAGACAGACAGGAAAATATTTTGTAATAAAGATAAATTTATGGGGTTAAAAAAACTTTTGTTATAAAAAAAAATTTTGTGATAAAAGTTTTTGAAACTAGAACTGAAAAATGAGGCCACTACAAAAAAAACCAAAAAAACCATAATAATAAAAACACAATATAAAGAGTGAATCATGATGATGGTTCATCAAGTCAATTCTTCTGTTTCTTTACATTCGATTGTGACGAGCTTTGACCCGGAGGCTCAATGTCTTTCAAAACTTTTCAAGCAAGTGTCCATTTCCTACGGAAGCCCAGAGGGACTTTTTCTATTCTAACATTTCTTTATTTATTTTTCTGCCAGGATCTTTTTCGGCCTTCACTGATTAAAATACATTTCTTGGCAAAAGACTGAACAGAATAATAATGTTAATTAACTTGCTAACACACATTACATGTAGCTTGTGTTTAGAGTGCAGACTGGGCTACTGGTGCACTTCAGCCTCCTGTGGCCTGAATGAGTATTACAAAAACAAACACTTCCTGACCAGAAACTAAATAAGAATCAGCTGTTTTCACAGATGAAAAGAAAAGAAAAACCTTCAGGGCTTCTGTAATGTTCTTTTTACTAGGAGATAAAAATATATCTATATATTTTGAATCAGTGACGAATTGACCTTGAAGTTTGGTTTTTGTCAACATTGGACTGATTCGTTAAAGCTGCATTAATTGATTTTTGGTAACTGGAAGCAGGAACACATTATCACCTTATAAAGTTAGCATGGCTAATGTGTTAGCATTTCCACACGTTAGGCAGACACAGAACAACATTAACATTCAGACCACTTACCCTGAAACAAGTTTAATAATCAAATGCAAATTGTGTTTGTTAGTATTTTTAGAAATATGATAAAATATCCTAAAATAAGGTTTTCTTGAGTCGCCCTTTGACATGAATCCAAACCTGTCCCGGGACACGTCCTCTGTCTCACTGTTTAGCCTGTCCATGTTCTCAGCAGTGACCACTGACCCCTTTAATCTGGGCTCAGTGAGACATTCGCCCTTTAACACCTGCTGTGTCCCAAAAAACAAGGACACATACATGACGTTCCCACTTCGTTTTCCTGTGTTGGATTTTGATTATTTTAGCCTCACGCTTTCTGTCACTTTCCATGTTACGCTCAGATCACGTCCGGGTTTAAACAACTGCAGAGAAATCCTTCATGTGTCCAGCTGACGTCCGGTGTTGACGGACGTCCAGGAGGCTCAGCAGTTGGCTGACCGCGTCCTCAGAGGACAGTGGGCACAGAGCTGAGTTCAACTCTGACAAATGTTTTTGGGCTGGTATGTGGGAGCCGGAGGAAGGGAAGCCTTGTTGAATACATGCTGGAGAATCTGCTCTCATGCTGCACAAAAGATAAACCTCCTGCTTCTCAGCTGCTGGATGACTGACTGGGCTCAACTGATGCTTTATAGCGCTGTACATCGATGAATGGATGTATAGAGCGCAGCTGCTGACAGAGGTTAACACAGAATGATGTTTTTAAACTCAGAGCAGCAAATATGTTTCTATATAAACACGAATAAATGTCCAGACACATTAAGTTCTCTTAAAATACATTATCCCAGTCTTTATGTCCAAGTTTGGGTTACTTTAAAGGCCTGTAGCATTTGATGAATGATTTCCCTTCGAATCCAAGTTTAACACAGTTTTACAGTGAGCAATCGTTGCTCTCAGTATCTCTTGTATCATGTTTGTTGAGATAAATATTTTTTCTGTTTGAATTTGCTTCCTTGGTATCACATCTAAATATAGAGAAGGAAAAAATGGATATGAAAAAAAGTTTATTATAATACAAACTGGTTATATAAGAAATTAAGCATAAAAGGAAAGTACAAAATTTCCCATGTACCATATCTCATAAGCCAAATAACAGTTTTCAGATAAAGCCTCGGGTTGCCCAAACGGGTCAACAAATACAAAAGCCACAACACAAATACAAAAGCCACAAGATAAATACAAAAGCCACAACACAAATATAAAAGCCACAAGATAAATACAAAAGCCAGAAGATAAGTACAAAAACGACAACATAAATACAAAAACCACAACACAAATACAAAAACCACAACACAAATACAAAAACCACAAGATAAGTACAAAAACCACAACACAAATACAAAAACCATTTGCCATTCATTTGTGTTGTGGCTTTTGTATTGGACATACCTTTATACTATATGGACCTTTAAGTTGTTATGGCTTACACAGAGCAACATTAGCACAGAGCTAGCTGTTAGCCTTTATTGCTACATGTTTCTGCTGTGGTTTGGAAGGAAATATCTGACTCTCTCTAAATTTAAATCAACTATGTTCACTAGCTAGTTGCTAACTTTTTCACCAACACACCAGCTGCTGCTGGAAACAGGGAAGCATTAAACACTAAAGCTAATTTCACATTTATTGTTTATATAAAGGGACGTTGTCAGTTGCAGCTTGAAATGAAGAAATCTCCCCAAATAAAAACCAAAGTTTGAGGGTTTTGCTGATTTAGATCGAGAGATATTTTGTATAATATCATGTCAGACGTTCAGTATTCATATTATTGTTCATCTGCCTCAACAAGACCAGAAGTGAAACTTGTTGCCATCCCAGTGTTTCCCTCCTGGCTGCACTGCTGCTCCTCTATCAGTCTCTGTGTCTCTATCTTGATTTTTCTCCCCCCCTATCTGACTCCCCCTCTCTGCTGTCTAATGACAGTCAGCAGGGCTGATAGGCAGATATATTTATACTGGTGGCAGGGGGGGAGGAAGAAGTCATCAACCGAGCCCCGTCCAGCCTCCAGGCTCGGGCAGGCGTGGCTTAGAGGAAACCCTGGCCAATTAGCCCCTCCCCGATCAGGGCATATCCCTGTGTGCTGTCCCTGGCCCTGCTCAGAGCTCTCAGCTAGATGGGACCAAAGCTTCACCGCCCCGAAGACTCATACACTCCCACATCAGCCCCTGGGGGAGAGAGAGCAGAGCCGAGGAGGCAGCACACGGAGAGCTGAAGGCTGCAGCTGCTGCACACTGACACACAACAGGAGAGAAGACAGAGTGTGTGTGTTATGTTTTTGCCTCACACCAGTTTTCTCCTCGAGCTGTTGATGAGGCAGGCTCCGTCCACTCCATCTCATCTCAGCCTGGGGTCCAGAGGCGGCCGGGGGGGTCGCAGTGAACGCCACTTCTTCAGCTCGTGTGACTTTATTTTGCGACTTTTGAACACTGGAACTGTACTGTAAGCATTATGACTCTTCTGGGCTCTGAGCACTCCATACTGATACGAAGCAAGTTTAGATCAGGTGAGTGAAATCGATGCCCTCTCTGTTTACGTCTCTTGTGAATCTGTGTATGAACTCTCCGGCTCCCGTGTGCAGCTGTGTTTATCCCCGAGAAGAGCCGCGCAAACAGTTTGTCTGCCAACACTTTGGCATTTAACAGGCAATCCTGTGTACGTTAAGTCATTGATCTGTCTCCACGGATGAGTTGTGTTGTGCTGTGGTCTTCAGTAACTCCAGCAAAGTGACAGGTGTGTGTAATATACTGCGGGGCGTGTGACGACACCAGGAATGCCAAAGGGAGGCCGGAGATAACTCAAGAGATCCTCCCGGGTACCGAGCCCTAATGATGGATTCACAGCTGGGCGTGTTCTTTGATGTTCATCCGCCTCCTCGTGAAAAACACCACGCCATGTGAGGGTGATGTCTCGGGCAGGTTAGCGCACTTGTTGCGTGCTGCTGCTGCTGCTGCTGCTGCTGCTGCTGAGGGAAGCCAGCGGCGAAGCGTCCTCGCTCTGTGGCTCTGAGCTCGCTGATAAAGTGCAGATTAGAGACTGGAGAGGGGTCACAGGTTATCTTAATGTGGCTGAAGTGGAAGCTGATGGTGCTTGTGTATATGTGTGTGTGTAGAGTGTGTGTGTGTGTATGTGCGTGTGTGTGTGTGTGTGCACCTTAGCATATCATGTCAAAGGAGGAAGGGCACAGACTACAGGACTGATTTAAACTCAACTTAACACACAGCAGCTGTTGGAGCTTTGTGTCCGTCCATCTTCACGTGAAGATGCTCAGTCGTCCAGGTCCCGGTTCTCCAGGAAGACCAGAATCCAGAGGCAGCTGGACTCAGTTGTAGACACTTGAAGACCTCTCATCCAAGAGGCTCTTGGATGAGAGGTCTTCAAGTGTCTACAACCAAGTCCAGAGAATCCAAGACGTTCGGCTCCTCTTGGATCGCTTTTATTTTGAAGGTCCTGCCTGAGCCTGAGCATGTGTGTGTTTGTGCTGTTCCACCACAGTGTGTGTAGTCTGACCAACACTGCCACCTCCCTGAGGAAAATGTAACTGATGGTGGCAGCAGAGCTCAGATTCCTCTCTCTCTCTCTCTCTCTCTCTCTCTCTCCTCTGTTAAAGCCTGTGTAGACGCTCGCCTCTGAAACCTTCCCGTCGCTGTGAACGCACAGACTCGCGGCCTGAGAGGCTTCAGCTCGGCTCTTGACCTGCAGTTTGCAGTAATTGCGTTCCAGAAATGGCAGGGTAAATGATGCTTTTCCTCTCAGTTGTTTAGAGCAGATCGGCTGGGTGGGAAATGACCCCCGGTGCTCCGGGAGGGGAAACATGAGAGAGTGCTGCGTTCAAAAGCAGCAGGGGGGCGTTTTTCACCAAGGTGCCTCAGGTTGTGTGTTGATCTAACTGATGAGCTCTGGCTCTTTAATGTGGCACAGATGTGGAGATAAAGTTCACCTTGTTACAGTTGGAGGGGTTCAGCTACAAGCTACAACCGACACGTCGTCGGTGAATTTAAGATGTTGTGCGTAAGAGAAGTAAAACTTTGCTCCGAGAGATTTACAAGTAGTTTTACATCTGCTGCTTCAGGATTTACAGTTTTCTTTAAGCTGTAGCACCTCCAGTTGCATTCAGGGTCCTGTGAAAACCAGCTCCCTTTCCTTTTTGCACCACGCTCAAGCTGCATTATCAAAGCCATGGGAACTGCTGCTGCTGCATGGGTGAAGCTAAAAGGAAAGATAAAGATCTCACTTAAGTGCTCCCTGTGGACTGCTGAATGGTCTGTGTGTCTGTGTGTGTGTGTGTGTGTCTGTGTGTGTGTTAACTGACTCGTTCTCATGCTGATTTGATTAACAGCTCAAAGGGCCCGTGCTCTCGAGCTCACTGCCGTTACATAACAGTCCGACAGAGGCGGCAGATATAACATTAAACAATAGCAGCACTGCAGCTAGGTGTCCACCACCTGGTTTGTCTAAACAGCTGTTCAGTATCAGCTCCACACCCAGGCCTCCACCTGTAGGAGCTCCGTATCTCTGCGTCACGTCTGTGATTGAAGCTAACAACAATTAGCTCAGAGGAAAAACCGTCCTGACACCAAATCATCTCAGATACGTCAGGGAGCGTTCATGAAGTGAAAGCTGTTATCGAATCTAAAACGCATTTACTTCACTGAGACGTTAGCTTCGTCACGTTAGCTTGTTGCTAACGAACAGAACAACAGGCCAGAGGCTTGTGTTAGAATGAACTAAAATTAACTTTTATCTGTCCTATTATGTTTTGTTTATGTATTTGTTTGTTTGTTTATTTGATGTTAATAAACATCACTACAAAATAAACAATGTAAACATGTTGGATTGTAGCAACAATGCTAACGCTCTGCGTCCCTCTGAAACAGTTTTTACCCAAGTGTCATCAAAGAACTGAACTCTGTTACAAACGTTACAGACTATTTATTATTTACCCGTTTTTATAAGTCATGTGTATGTTATTTAAGCTATTTAATTATTTATTGTGTGTTTGTTTTGTTTTATCTTGAACTCTTGTGCCACTACGCAGATGCACGAAACTTCTTTGCGTAGTTGTGCAATGACAAATAAAGGCGTTCTGTCTATTCTAGTTTACGTCTGATGTCAGGCAGGTAAGTTCCAGGTGACGGCAGATCTGGTTTGACCTCAGCCAGTGTTTGAGATGTGTCTTCACTTCCCTTCACTGACAGCACAGTTGTTGTTTTTATTTTTGTGCTCGTCGTATTAATTCTTTAACCAATAAAACATCTTGTGAGACCAGACCAGTGTTTCTCCAGTAATCACAGCAGCTCTGATAATATTTCTGACGAATGATAATAATAAATAAGATGAGAGGTAAAAGCTGGACATCTTCCACTGTCGGTGAATTCACTCTGGCAGCAGATAAAAAAAAGTTCTTACCTGTGTTTTTGCACAGATCTGCATCACCTTGCTATCTGAGCGTGCTCCATCAGTCAGTGTCAGAGCAGCTGTGTGTGTGTGTGGTGAAGCGTTGGCTCACCTGCACACTGGCTCGGCCTCACCTTCATAAATCTGCCTCTAACCGTCCCGGACCGCAGGAGTAATAGGAAGACGTGGGTTCTGTTTTAAGGTGGATTTTCACTTTATGCAGACGTATGAGACTAAAATAAACCCAATACTTCATGTAGTAAAAGCTGTTTATTAGAAGTTGTACAGCGGCGCTCATACATCTGTCGCAAACACATTCCTGCTGGGGAAGGTTCAGGAGGACTCATGGAACAAATGCAAGCGAGTGGCTGGAGTGCGAGTGTAACAGCGTGGTGTTATTGTTAGCCTGGTGTGGTGGCGGTGAGTGTTTGAGGCAGTAAATCAGAATATCGCTGCACTGGCTCGTGTAATTATCGCCGCTTCACCAGCGCCAGCCAAACGATCATTTATTTACACCATAAATCTGGAAACGTGTAAATGTGGCCGCAGGTTTGTGTGTCATTTGTTGTCAAGGAAGTGAAACAGCGGAGTGCGGTGTGGTCAGTGGTCTGAGATCACACAGCCTGGCTCAGGTCCTCGTCCTGGAACATCAGTGAGGCCGGCTATCGGCTCGCACTGAGGCTGCTCAGCAGAAACAGATTATTGATAAAGTTTCAGAGTTGAATTCAAATCAAAAAGCTCTGCAGGATTAACTCACACTAACGTTCCGCTGCTTCGTCATCTTTGCTCTTTTCATGCCAGAGGAGAATAAACCTGCAAACTGCCTGTAAGGCCAGTCACCGCAGCGCCGGCACAGCTCAGGGTGAGGCAGCGTGGGCTGTTTAACTGTTGGATACAGAAGTGTGAAGTGTGAACACGTTCACTTAAGAATGAACAACGTAATTATCTCAGAATTCTGACATTTAAAAAAATCCTCAAAAAAATGTAATTAATTAGATAATTATCTCGTTAATTCAGAATAACGGAGCATTTAAAAGAAAAATCTTGTTTTTCTGAATTAACGAGATAATTATTTCAGATTTCTGAGGTAATTATCTCGTTTCTCTCAGATTTTTTTTTCTGAAGTGACTGAGTGACGCCTCCGTAGTTACAAGTGTCACAATCACGTGGCAGCTGCCGTAAACAAAGTGCAGAGCAGGGAGGAGCGTCTCTTGACTTCAGGCTCAGTACAATTAGCCGAAGCTAACGCTAACACTTACACTGCATCGTCCCTTTGCAGAGACTGACCCGAGTGCGCTTGTTCCTGTGTGGTTCATGTTGTGGTCATGTGTGTGTGTCCCCCCCCACCTGTAAACTAAAGCAGATGTCATAATGAAGGGAAGGGGCTGCTGTTACGTAACAGAGGTGCTGCCCCGTCAGAGCGCTGTGATGTGGCACCAGAGCCGTCACATCAGAGCTGGAAGGGGTTTGAGGAAATTCGTAAGATGCTGATGATGTGGCCACAGCTGCATGAACACGAACCACCTGAGACAATTAACAGGCGGGGAGACAAGCGGAGAGTAATTAGAGGCTGGAGGAGAAGGAGGAACATTTCATACTGTGTCAGACGCAGGATCTCACAGAGACCTGCAGATAAGACGAGGGAGGAAAACCACGCAGACAAAGAGAGGACAAGAAAGAAAAGGATCCACAGACACGGGGGAGGCTCTGTGTTTACGACCCCACACTCCCACCTACACACACACACACACACACACACACACACACACACACACACATGCTGCAGACCACACACTGCAGAGCAGATCTGTTTAAAAGCCAGGAGCCGTGTTTATCATTCCCTACATCCTGCTCACAGAAATATTTGTGAGCCAGCAGTGTTGTTTTTCTGTTTTCTGTGTGTGTGTGTGTGTGTGTGTGTGTGTGTGTGTGTGTGTGTGTGTGTGTGTGTGTGTGTAGATACCTACAGTACATACAGAACATGTGAGCAGTGTTTTCATGTCAGACTGATGAAGTTAGAAAAATGAAAAATTCTCAGTCTCTCTTCCTGCTTTTTCTCTGTCCCTCACCTGTCCGTCCTCATCTCTCTCTCTCTCTCTCTCTCTCACCTGTCCCCCCATCTTTCTCACTCCTCTCCTCCATCTACCTCACCCTCCTCCCTCCTCCCACCCTCAGTCCTACAGTTAAGACTTCAGCAGAGGAGGACACGAGAGCAGCTGGCAGACCAAGGCATCATGCCTCGTGAGTAACGCCTTCCAACACTGAGCTGCCCCACACACACACACACACACACACACACACACACACACACACACAGAGACAGAGGTCCACTTACATGCTTTCACACTGTAGTGTGACTCCAGCAGACAAATGGAAAGAGTGAGAGAAACACACTGAAGCGAAGGGAACGTGTCACGTCGGTTTAATCTGCAGTGAAAGTCGATGGAAATCAGTTCAGCGTTTAAAAATCACATGAGCAAAGTGACTAGCAACAACGTCCGTGTCATCTTCCCTCATGTTCTCTGTGTCAGGGTGAAGGTAGAAATGTCAGAGACGGGTCTCTCCAGACAAATGAGAAAATGTTTTGTTTTTTTTTCCAATCAGCTCGATATCAAAAAAAATTCATATTCATTAATGGTGTGATTATTTTGGCGGATGGTGCGGCTTCAGTCGAAAAGCTCCTTTCTTCATTTTCACTTCAAAAAAAATATGAAAATGACGATGATGTGATTTTTGTTCGTCTCGTACCAGACAAACTTGTTTTCTTCACGTCTGGAGAATCTGATCTGTAGCATCATGATGCTAATGATGCTAATGATGCTAACAATGTGACGCTTTTTACTTTTATCAAAACAAATCGCAGCTCCTATGATTTGGATGTTTTGGCCACATTGAGATTTTGATTATGTATTGATTGACTGTGCAGCTCGAGTCTACGTGACGATCGGTTAAAGTAATGATTGATTTATTTTGTCCACACGGGGGCAGCGCAACAAGCTGCAGAAACAACATTCACATAACGTAACGTCACCCTTTACATCCAGACACTTCATCGTTCATTCAGAGTCGTGTCTCTCGGTGTTCCCTCTCTCTCTTTTAGCTCGGTGTTCGGTCTCCACCGGCTCCTCAGGAGATCGTCTCACTCTTTAGCTGCTAAACTCTTCACGACCTCCAGCAGCTGCTCTCTGACTCGCTGTGTGACGCTGGGCAGGAAGAGGACTGTGGGTTTGTTAGAGCTTTTTGATGATGATGATGATGATGATGATGATGAGAGCAGAGAGACTGAAACAGAACGTAAGTTGCAGGATGGAAAGAAGAAAATGAGCTGATGATTCTCTGGTTGTAAATGCAAAGAATATATAATCGAAGGATCAGTTGCTGCCTTTTAAAAACTGGCTCCTCTCGGCTCAGTCAGTTTTACTCTGAAGATCTTGGCACTGACGCTTCGGATCAACGACTCTGACAAACTGCGCGACATGTCTGTGACTGTCTGTTGTGACGACGCCGGCTGCTCGCGAACGAGGGAGACAAGAGAACGAAGGATGGCGATGGAGAGGGAGAAACAATCAGTGAAATCAGCTGAATCTGCAAATTCATCCTAGTTTGTGCTTTTTCATGAGCGTGTAACGTGTGATGGTGTAACCACCGTCAAGCTGTGTCACAGCTGAGCTGTAACTCTGTGCTGGAGATCATTTAAATTGCATCGTCTGTTAAATAAATAAATGAAGTAGATTTAGAAACAAAGGACCTCAGATTAAAGTCAGGCAGAGAAACAGGTAGGAGGAAAAGTAAAAAGATGCCAGATGCTGTAAAGAGAAGCAGATCCAGGCTGCGCAGACAGATAAATCCTCAGGTAGTGACAGATACAGAGGTGGGCGTAGAGGAAGCAGGTGGATGTGCGGCCCCGCAGGCGGAGAGACAGACAGGCAGAGAGAGGCAGCAGCCAGCGAGCGGCAGACAGGTCGGTGAGTGACCGCCGAGGAATGCTCTCGTGCTGGAAGAGCCTCTCAGTCTCAGATTTACACAGCCTGTACCTGTTTACAGCAGAGCGCCTGCAGAGCGCCGCATCAGAGCCGAGGCACGCCCTGACCCGACGACACGGAGCCGCACTCAGAGCTTTGTGCTGTTAGTGTCACTTAGAGCATAGTGATGAGAACGCGTAGACCTGTCTGCACTGAGCGTGCTCTTAAATCCTCACTGTGGCTGTGATTAACGGCCTCCATGTTGTGCAGGCCGGTGGGGGGGGGGGGGCCTGACTCACGCCACACATTTTCACATATTCACGACGAAGCGAACTGAAGTGAACCCCAGATCTTATCGATCCCTGATGCTGCAGAGCAGAGCGCCGTCGTCTGGAGCGGCGAGTGATGCCAGCGTACAGTTGTTGCTCGTCTGTAAGAACAAACACGGGGAACCTGGGGGGGGTGGGGGGGGGACTTGGACTCTCGGCCAGGGATTTGTTGAATGATATCTCTGGCACCATTTGCCATTTCACAGAGGCTCCAGCCTCCAGATAAACTGCTGGTAAGTGTGCGGGGGAACGGAATCCAGAGGCCCGGCGAGGCCCTATCAGTTTCTAGGAGTCTGTCACAGATAAGGCGGCAAGGAGCGACGCAATTGGCCAGCTCGCTTTTTTTTAAAAAAGGGACTTTCAATTGGCTGTTTATCTCTTGATTGCAGGCGGTGGCGCAGATGGAGCAGGGCTGCAGAGACTTGTGTTTGTTAGTACACACTTTCTTACGCCCACACACTCCATGTCTTATCATCATCCGCCCCCCCCCCCCCCCCCACCAAAAAATGAGACATATTTGAGGGCGTCCTCCTCCTCCTCCCCCTCCTCCTGCTGGCTCTGCCCGGCTGGAGATGGACATGGCACAGGGTCTGTGTGTATATTACCCAGGGAACATCTGGTGTTTATTAGGCTATTGAAGAATCCGCCCCGGCCTCTCAGGCCTGACTGGCGTGTGGCCTGCATGGGAGCACACTGTCTGCTGCTGGCCACAGGTCTGACTCACACACACACACACACACACACACACGATCTAATATTTCCTCATAAAGATAACAGGGCTGTAGTTGCAGGTCTACCGTGCTCGTGTCCACGTCAGGAGCTTTCATCCTGGGTGGATGGAAACACGGAGGGAATGACTCCCCGCCTAATGCACCATACGTCTCCGCTCTGGGCGCCGTGTTTACATCAGCAGGTATATGTACGGCGTGTTTTTAATACGGCTGCACAGTGTTTAAACTGTCTGTAAGCCGGCCTCACGGTCACCGGCTCGTGTTACAGCGCGTCCCGCAGCCAGAGAGGTTTAAACACGCTGAGAGCTCCGTGTGTCTCCGTGACGACCAGTCAGGCTTTAAATCAAGCCGGTGTGTGACAGGTGAAGCTGGGGGGGGCGGGGCAGAGTGAGACAGCTGAGCTATAAACAGAAGGTGATGTCATTCTGCTGGTGGACGCCAGCGGATCACCGCCGTGACCACGAGCAGCTGATGCCCCCCCCCTTTCACTGGACACTGGATCAGCTGATTTACCCCCATCCCTCCTTTACTACACTCGTCCTCCCTCTCTCCTTCTTTTCTTCCCTCCATCCTCCAGGCTGCTTTCAGTCTCTCTGTAGTCCTCCCTTCCTTTCCTTACTTCAACCTCCTTTTCTTTCCTCCTTTCCTTCTTTCCTCCTTTCCTTCTTTCCTTCTTTCTTTGTTTTCATTATCTCATCCTTTTCCCACTGGAAATTCTTTCTCTTCCATCCCTCTTTTCCTACTTCCATTTTTACTTCAACTTTCTTTTCTACTTTAAATCTTTCTTTATTTCATTGTCCTCCTACTTTCCTCCTTCTTGACATTTGTTCCTCTGTTCCTTTATTCCTCCATTTCTTCATCGCATCTTTCTTCTCAGTTTTTCTTCCCTTTCTTTCCTCATTAGTCTGATTTTTCCTTCCTTCATTCTTCCCTCGTTTCCCTCTTTAATATTCCCCCTTTTTTTCCTGAGGTATTTCCTCCTTCCTTCCCTCCTCTCTGTCCTCTCTTCCTCTTCCTCTTCCTCTTGTTTCAGATCGATGTCTGATTTGACTGAGACATGAAGCCAAATCTTTTCTGTATCTGAGATTAAGGAAGTTTAATGCATCATATGAATCTCACCTTCTTTCTGATGTTGGATTATATTTTTATGAAGGTTACATTTTCATCCGACTCCACCTGAGTCTCACTGATCTGGATCCAGTTCAGTCCCTCACAAACACGGACATTATATTTGACCAAATAAGAGCTGCTGCTCTTTCTGTGTCTCGTTTAAAGAGCCTGACTCAGAGCTCTCCTCAGTGTGAGGGCAGAGTCTGGGCAGACTGTGGGCCAACTCCGGCTCTGATTATTTATTCTGGATTTAACCGAGAGAGATTGAGGAAGGCTGGAAATCTCACCTGCTGCTGCTCTTTAATTACAACCTCTGTATTTATTGTTCCAGTTCTCAGAGTGTGTGAGTGCGGAGCGTCTGATATTACAACTGATCCAACACAGATTATTGATTGTTGAAGGCTGAAGGAAACAACAGCTGGATGCAGCAGAACTAAAGGGCCAAGATGAAATGATGAAATGAAAATAAACAATCAGCGGAGGTGAAACAGACGGGACTTTAGATAAACGGTGTGATTTGATTTTACAAGGAATTTTGGAGCAGAAAGTAGAAATAAAGTATTATGATCATTTTATTATTTACTTAGAAAATACAACATTCTTCTTATTGAAGAGAAAGATTAATTATATGTAAAATGTATGTGCATTTATCATATACTGTCATAGAATCTTTGCAGGAGGTGAAACTTCTGCAGTTTATCAGTGATGGAGGAAAATATTTTCATTCTTTACGACGTCAGATATTATCGTCTGAAAACACACAAACACATTTTCTCCATTTAAAGTTTTAGTGAAGTAGAAATGAAACTGTTTCAAAGAGGAATAAATGAAATATTTATTGTTTGTTTGAGTTCGTTTGTAACGTTAGCTCGTCCGTTAGCCGTTAGCTTGAGCAAGAAGGAAAACCACTTTGACAGGGTTGTTAGCATCTGTTAGCGAGCTAACCATGTGATTGATGTAACCGATCTGGAAACTGGAAATGAGTGGAATAGTTCAGGGTTCTGTTGAGACCAGGATCCAGGTTCAGACTGTGGTTTGTGTTTGGATTAAATGTTGGTTTGAATTTTCTCCTCAAACTTTATTCTTTCAAAGTAAAAGTAAAATGACTAAAAGTAAAAGTAAAATGACTCAGTGTGTTGCAGGTCGGTCCCTGTCAGTGTCATTCTACATTATATTATCATGTGATTGTCAGTGTCATTCATGTGTCAGCAGCATGTCACTGTTGTGTCTTCATGTGGCGTTCACACTGTACAGGTCATGAACAGATGTCCTCAGTCTCTCCTTCAGTGCAGCATGTTCAGTCATGTGATCACGGTGTGTCGCGGTCGTGTTGCTGACGGTCTGGTCCCCCTGTGTGTTGTGCAGACCCGGCCTCAGACGGCCCCCCTCTGGAGGCCCAGCTGAGGCTAAAGCGAGCCCGGCTCGCCCAGGACCTGAGCGAGAAGCTGGCTCTCAGGCCGGGGCCCCTGGAGCTGGTCCAAAAGAATATCATGCCCCTAGACTCAGCCGACACAGAGACAGGTACCAGCAGCTGTGTGACGCAACGTAACACACCTGTAACACCTGCTGCACCGCAACCGTGTGTGTGTGTGTGTGTGTGTGTGTGTGTGTGTGTGTGTGTGTGTGTGTGGGTGTGTGCGTGTGTGTGTGCGCGCGTGTGTGTGTGTGTGTTCAGTACAGAGCACTCTGCTGGAGACTGTGATCTCCTCAAACAAGCATGTACTTTAATGACTTCACTGTTCAACTTCAACACAGTCACATCACCTCAAGCTCTACCAGCAGTTTTATTACAGATGTTTGATGAACTTTATGTTCCTAGATAGAAAGATAGAAAGATAGAAATAGAAAATAGAATAGATAGATAGATAGATAGATAGATAGATAGATAGATAGATCTTCTTTGTGCCAACCTGGCAACAAGAAGTTAGTTGTGTTTGGAACAGCTGATCACTGATCTACTCTGCTCAGCATTCATGAAAGTAATATTAATAATTTAGAAGTTAAATAAAGTTAAGTTAAATGTATAGTTAAAAGTTACAATGAAGAAAACCTTTTCTAAAGTGAGATTTATCAGAACTCAGGGACAAACTTGACGTTTTATGACTTTCACAAAGAACGAAAAGTTATTTACATTTTCAAAACATGTTTATTCAAAAAGCATCTTCAATATTTTACAAATCCATACAGCAGAGTCAAGTGTTTGGAGCTCCTCCTCCTCCTCCTCCTCCTCCTCCTACTCCTCCTCCTCTCTTTGTGTTTGATGTAAGGGAATGCAGCGCTCGCTCAGACCCTGTGATTTACTGCTATATGAGAGCGTGTTTGTCCAATGTTACTCTCTCTCTCTCTCTCTCTTCTCTCATCTCCCTCTCTCTCTGCTACTCCGCGCTCTCTCCTCTCCTCTCTCTCTCCCCCTCTCGTCTCTCTCTCTCCTCTCCTCGTCTCTCCCCTCTCTCTTCTCCCTTCCTCTCTCTCTCCCTCTCCTCTCTTCTCCCTCTCTCTCTCTCTCTCTCTGTCCTCTCTCGTCTCTCCCTCCCTCCCCTCCTCTCTCCTCTCTCTCTCTCCCTCCTCCTCTCTCTCTTCTCCTCCCTCCCTCTCTCTCTCCTTCTCTCTCTCTCTCTCTCCTTCCTCTTGCTCTCTGCTTCCTTCTTCTCTCTCATCTCCCTCCCCTCTCTCTCTTTCTCTCTCTCTCTCTCTCTCTCTCTCCCTCCTTCTCTCTTCTCTCTCTCCCTCGTCTTCTCTCTCTCACCTCTCTTCTCTCCCTCTCTCCTCTCTCTCTTCTCCCTCTCTCTCCTCTCTCTCTCTCCTCTCTCCCTCTCCTCCTCTCTCCTCTCTCTCTCATCCCTCTCTCTCTCTGGTCTCTCTCTCTCCCTCTCTCTTCTCTCCCTCTCTCTCTCTCTCTCTAGCGTTCTTGGCAGCGGGACAAGTGTTTTCTGTAGACTGGTGGTTTTGAGCGGGTTTTAATGTTTGCCCCCTTGAGGCCTCCATAAACATGTTGCGTAAAGGAGGAGGCGGGCTGCAGTCAGCTGTTTACACTACCTCTGCAGGAGGAGGCGAGCGCCGTTATTGAGACGAGCAGCAGCTGTATTTGGATCACCCTTTTTCTTTAGAAGTGTATGTTTTGAGTTCGAGTGCGTCCTTGTGTGTGTGGTGTGTGGGTGTGTGTGTGGTGTGATGCTTGTGGGGTGTACCTCTGGTGTGACTGTATGTTTGTACCACACCTCCTCGCTCCCGTTTTGAGCCACCTCCACAGTTTCATGACAGCGCACAGGCCGCTGCGTCCCCCTACCACTGCGCCTCACACCCCCCTCGACTCTCACCTATCAGCCCTGCAGCCCCCTTACACAACACCCACAGCCGCACCGATGGTTTCAACCTACATGTCCGGTAGTTTTAGGAAAACTATGGACCCCTGTAGCTTCTGAGCCAGCCACTTGACAAGCGGAAAGTGCAGCACGGCTCACACGACTTCCTGTCATTTCTGAGGCCGCCTCAATCTATCCCAGGACACGGAGTCGACTATCGAACAGACTCATCTGCAAGTTGTCGGAGAGTGTGTGGCTGCAGAGAGGGAAGAGATTAAACTATGTAAAACAGGTGAGTGAAATGGCATTCAGGGACCAAATGCTGTGCTGTTAAGCTCTGTCAGTGCTTGTGTGTGTGTGTGCTGGTGTGTGTGTGTGTGTGTGTGGCTGAGGTCACTGAGTTGGCCCACGAAAGAGCCTGTGCTAGTTGATTGCAAACCCAGGGTCTGTTCCGCGCTGTCAAATGTTTGGATTACAAAAAGAGAATTCTTATACCTCTACAGACACAAAGCAACACACCACACACACACACACACCCACACAGCAACTTTGCCCCCCCTCCCTCCCTCTGTCAGATAGCTGCTCTTCAGCTCCTCCAATCAAGAGCGGCGCTCGCTATCAGCTCGCTGCCATTCCAGGCTGCGTGATGGAGGTAAAGTGGTCGTGTCAGTGTCTTCACCCACGGAGCGATAAACACCTTCCGGCGGCTGAGAGAGCGGCGAGTGTCAGTGACACACACAGACAGGCAGAGTGGTGAACGCCACAGGGAACAACATACACATACACCTGCCGCAGTTTGTTGATGTGTGTTTCCAAGATCACATATGTCAAAACCAATACTCCTTAGTTTCTTGATGAAAGCC